GAAAGGGAAACCCAGCAAGGCCTGTCTGTTCAGATTCTTCTGGGCCTCACTGTGTGGTGTTCCTTCTGCAGAGGAATTCACTGTAGAGGGCAGGACTCCCATGAAATAGGGTTTTCAAGGGAAAAGGGAGAGAGTGGCCTTTCTAGTTTTTATGATTTGCTTTGGGCCAGAGTGGTTTTGGTTTCTGTGACCCACCTTGGGGAAAGGAATTCTGTTTTCCATAACTTTCTTCAGGGGAAAATGGGAGAGGGTCAGAAAGACCTTGTTTCTGGCTGAATTCCTACAGCCAGCTGAAAAGCATGCATGCACACACAGGTTTTGTTTTGTTTTGTTTTTTTGGCAGGCAGCCAGAGGCCTTTCCTATGTCCAATTCAAAGTACTCAGCACACCAATGTGCCATACTTTGGGGTATCTTGTTCTGAGCCCCAACAGCAGGAAGAATATAGGATAGGCATAACCAAACTGCCTGTGGGTACCACTTACAAGTGTCCAGGTAGTTTCTACTTCTGTGATGTCCACAAAAAGCCAAGAATTCCCTATGGCCCTTTTTGGGAGAACTGGGATATAAAGGAAGGGCCCCCGTGAAGCAAAGCCATGAGCAAAATGGCTAAGAATGCTCTACTTCATCATTATTAAGGGCAGACTGACTTTGGGGCTGGGTATTTCTTGGAAAAGCACTCATTATGAATCCTCATCTAACTCTGTCCTTCCACACTGGCAACTTCTCCCCAGGCCATGTGGCTGCCCAAACTCTCACATCTGTGTATACACAAACACAAACCCCACCTTCCTGCGAGGGCTTCAAACCACATTCTGATCTCTTGCTTCCTGTTCACTGCCAGATTTCTTAGAAACAGGTGTCTCTACTTTCCAGCATCCATAGGATAACATCTTGCTCTTGTTGTCATCGCTAACCAGAACACAGAAAAAACCCACTACTTACACCGTTGTTATGCCATGGTTAAGTAGCACCAGGAAAGCTTCCTATGATGAAAGTCTTGAGGTATCAGAGCCACAATCTCAGAAGTTTTAAGGGTTAGCTTTATGCAGTGAATTAGAATTCAAAACCCTGAATGGGCGGGCTGAGGATCAAAGTGGAATTTTCAGCAGTCCTCAGGATCAGTAGTAAGGGAAGTGGGAAAGCTAGTTTGGGGCAGTATCCCTTAAAGCATATAATAGGGAAGATGTTAAAATTCAGACAACTGAGACCATAGCTTAATTCTGTATCATATAACTCCATGTTGGTAAGCCCTCCATGTGAGACTAGGGTCCTAGAATGATCTTGTGCAACGTTTTAACCTCTTAAAGCCAAATTGCCCAGAGATAAGGAGATAGAATAGAAAGATGGATAGCAAGAAAGGGATATATGCTATAATATAGAAAATTGTAAAAGGCTTTTACGATTCATATAAAAATAATTCTTTAATGTCTCTGAAGAATTATACTCCATGGGTTTCAAGGAGAACATTGAGAAACTGGGATGGCTTCCAGACCCTTTGCACATATCCCCATTTGTCAGTGTGCTGTGAGTCCTGGCCCGAAGAACCAGGCAAATGATCTAAGTCCAGAGGGCAGCAGAAGAGGTTGGGTCCCTCTTCTGTCAGAAGCTCTTTCCTCCAGACAGAAGTCAGCACTTAACAAACCACGTCGGGCTCTCTAAGGTAGGATAATGGAGCACCAAAGGAAGGAACTCTTGCATCGCAAGGCAGTTTTTCTCTTTCTAGGGACACAGTATTTTCCATCTAATGAAAGAGGAAAACAAGAAAGGAGAAGGAGAAGCACAGGGTAGCAAGGACAGTCTTCTGCTGTCAAAGCAGTTCTGCCATTGCTTTCCCTGTGTCCTTAACTCCCCAGCCCTGTCCCACTGCATGCCCTTCCCAGGCGCCTCGCTCAGTCAGGCCTCCAAGGTGGTCCCGTCTCCAACTTCTCTTGTTTTTCCAATCAGAACATCAGAGACCAATCATCAACTGCCAAAGCACATACACTAATAACACAGCAAACATAGATAAAATGAACAATGATAAGTAGAGATAAGAATAATAATACAATATTCTTATCCAAATGTGAAGATTTGACCTAATTCTTGTCATAGAGGAATTCATTGTTGAGGACTTTAAGATCATATGGGAAAAAGAATATGGAAACCATGGACATGGATGAACCTATACGAGAGTACTTTAAAGTCATTTTGCATGCAAAAAAAGTAAAACAGCACATAAAATCAATAAATGATAGGTAATAGAGATATCACTAGAATATTAAGTATTTTGGGTGTAAACACCATGCTTGTTCTGTTTCACTGCTATGTATATATATATATTTCCCCAGTACCTAGGTAAGTGACTGCTATGTAACCGTGCTAAATATTTGTTTTCTGATTAGCTAAATTGCTGATTTAATTTTAATTTATTGGGTTTAGTTCAAAGTGCTCATACATTTGCTTTATTTTTTGTGGGTTATTGTACTTTATTTGCTCCTCCATCTAAATATTCAGTGCTTTCTTCTCCTTATTTTTGGGGGTCCCAATTCCCGCATCCTACCAGGATCCTGGAGATGGAAAATACCTTGAGCATTTGTGATAGAAAGAGATTTAGATCACCTTTATGTGACCTGCTTATTCCACTAGAGCTGAACAGCATTTTTAACTATGCCCTCCCCCAGCCCCAAAAAGGCAGAGGTAAATAGCCTTCGCTCAGCCTATGAAAACATGTGCCCGAGTACATTTCTAACCCATTTGACGTACATCTCAGTTCCGATTCTTCTCCGTCTCCTTTGCTGGCACTACTCTTCTAAATGTGGGCGTTGCCTAGGTCCCAGTCTTGATCCTCCTTCTCTTTTTCCCCTGTTTTATCTTCCTAAGTGATCTCATCCATTCCTGTGGCTTTAAATACCAAATGCATGCTGCTGGCTTCCAAATGCATATGTCCAGGCTTGACCTACTTTTAAGCTCCAAATCTGTATACCCAATCCCCTACTTAACATTTTTAACTGAATGTCTTACAGGTAAAACAAATAAACCATTTTACTAAGTCCAAAATGAACTTTTGATTTTTACCCCTCCTCTTAATCACCCACCACCCCCAACTGGTTCTATTCCTAATCTTCCCTATGTCTGTACCTTGCACTGCACAGTATATAGTACAATGCTCCCTACACTTCTCAATGGTGTTGGCCCCACATAGTACTGTATCAAGTATATTGAATATTGTAAAATCACCCACCCAACTGCTCAAGCCACAGAGCCATCCTGGGTTCTGACCCACTTACCCTCCCTCTCTAATTCTTTAACAAGTGTATGTTTGTTTGTTTGTTTGTTTTTTGTTTTTTTGTGTGTGTGAGATGGATGGTGTCTTGCTCTGTTGCCAGGCTGGAGTGCAGTGGCACAATCTTGGCTCACTGCAACCTCAGCCTCCTGGGTTCAAGCAATTCTCCTGCCTCAGCCTCCTGAATAGCTGGAACTACAGACGTGCACCATCATGCCCCGCTAATTTTTGTACTTTTAGTAGAGACGGGGTTTTGTCATGTTGGCCAGGCTGGTCTCAAACTCCTGACCTCAGGTGATCCACCCACCTTAGCCTCCCAAAGTGCTGGGATTACAGGCATGAGCCACTGTATCTGGCCTTGAACACGTGTAGCGGTTTTTGGCTCCAAAATCATCTGCCTATTTATCTCCAGTTCCACTCTTAACACCCGAGTCTAAGCTACTATTATCTCTTGTCCAAACCAAGGCAATAATCTCCTCCCTGCTATCAGTCTTGCCAGTCTTGCCTTTTGAAGAACTAATCTCTACATAGCAGCAAAGGTGACCTTTATAAATAGAAAACCTATAGCGTCAATGCCCTCCACACCGCTCAATGGGTGTTGGCCCTATTATACTTGGAACACAATGAAAAGTCATCACGATGACCGACAAGGCTCTACTCGAAGTGTCCCCTCTGTACTTATCTAAATTCACTGTAAGCCCTTTCCCTCCTACCTCTCCAGGCTCCCTATGTGCCCCACACAGTACATGCTGGCCATCTGACAGCTCCTAAAACGAAATGTGAACTTTCCTGCCCTAAGGCCTTGGAAATTACTTTTTCCTGGGACTGAAAGACTCTTCCCTCTGCTACCTTTTTGTTTTGTTTTGTTTCTGTTTTGACAAGTTGCAAACATGTAACAAACATCTGTGTTCTACCACCAAAAATTAATAGTTGTTAACTTTTTGACATTTTTCCTTGGATTTGAACATTAACAAAAGAATAATATAAAGGCAAAATCTCCTTGTTCTGCCTGTGTTCCATCCTACTTTCTCCTTACTCAGAATGAGTAAGGGATATTGCTGGTTCTTTACGCTATGTGCGTTTCTTTCTTCCTTCTGTTTAGCAAAACCTTAACTTGTTAAGACATTCATGCACTGCCCATTCCCACCTCCACCCTCTTCCCCAGCACCCTCATGTGTGCAGCAGAGGCCGTTTGCAGCATGATTGTGGCCCAGGAGATAAAAGGGCAAGTTTCCCGGAGGCTGTGTTTCATTTTGACCCAGGCTATCCAGCAGGGAGCTTGTAGCACATCTAGAGGCTCCTATCCTCTCTCTCCTGCCGTCACATTTTGCCTTCAGAGAACTGGGATGGGACCACAAGAGCCAGGCTCTTTGAATTGCTGATCCACTGCCGAGGTCTGAACCATATGACACTCTTTTGTTCAGTCCTTACCATGTGTCATCACTTATCTCAACATCACTGTCTGATCTAAACCAAAAACATCAACATCACAAATAGAAGGAAACTGGACTTCCTACGTGTCCTACTCCATGCCTCTCCTCCCAAAAAAAGAAAGAAAAATGATTTCTCCTGCTATATAGAATCATTTTTTGGTCAGTGTACTATTTTTATCATAGTTGTATGTGTGTTTAAACTCAGTGCTATGAAAGACTTTTGCAAGGTTAAATCTCCACTGCAATACAAAATGTTTAAAATCTCAGTTAAGAACTGACCTCCCTGTCTCCTCTCTGCTTGTAGGTTGTGGCATGTTTACCTTCCTGTCGTCTGTCACTGCTGCTGTCAGTGGCCTCCTGGTGGGTTATGAACTTGGGCTCATCTCTGGGGCTCTTCTTCAGATCAAAACCTTATTAGCCCTGAGCTGCCATGAGCAGGAAATGGTTGTGAGCTCCCTCCTCATTGGAGCCCTCCTGGCCTCACTCACCGGAGGGGTCCTGATAGACAGGTATGGAAGAAGGACAGCAATCATCTTGTCTTCCTGCCTGCTTGGACTTGGAAGCTTAGTCTTGATTCTCAGTTTATCCTACACGGTTCTTATAGCGGGACGTATTGCCATAGGGGTCTCCATCTCTCTGTCTTCCATTGCCACTTGTGTTTACATTGCAGAGATTGCTCCTCAACACAGAAGAGGCCTCCTTGTGTCACTGAATGAGCTGATGATTGTCATCGGCATTCTTTTTGCCTATATTTCAAATTATGCATTTGCCAATGTTTTCCATGGCTGGAAGTACATGTTTGGTCTTGTTATTCCCTTGGGAGTTTTGCAAGCAATTGCAATGTATTTTCTTCCTCCAAGCCCTCGGTTTCTGGTGATGAAAGGACAAGAGGAAGCTGCTAGCAAGGTTCTTGGAAGGTTAAGAGGACTCTCAGATACAACTGAGGAACTCACAGTGATCAAATCCTCCCTGAAAGATGAATACCAGTATAGTTTTTGGGATCTGTTTCGTTCAAAAGACAACATGCGAACCCGAATCATGATAGGACTAACACTGGTATTTTTTGTACAAGTCACTGGCCAGCCAAACATATTGTTCTATGCATCAACTGTTTTGAAGTCAGTTGGCTTTCAAAGCAATGAGGCAGCTAGCCTCGCCTCCACTGGGGTTGGAGTCGTCAAGGTCATTAGCACCATCCCCGCCACTGTTCTTGTAGACCACGTTGGCAGCAAGACATTCCTCTGCATCGGCTCCTCTGTGATGGCAGCTTCGTTGGTGACCATGGGCATCGTAAATCTCAACATCCACATGAACTTCACCAATATCTGCAGAAGTCACAGTTCTATCAACGAGTCCTTGGATGAGTCTGTGATTTATGAACCAGGAAACCTGTCAGCCAGCAATACTACTCTCAGAGACCACTTCAAAGGGATGGCTTCCCACAGCAGAAGCTCACTCATGCCCCTGAGAAATGATGTGGATAAGAGAGCGGAGACAACCTCAGCGTCCTTGCTAAATGCTGGATTAAGCCATACTGAGTACCAGATAGTCGCAGACCCTGCGGACGTCCCAGCTTTTTTGAAATGGCTGTCCTTAGCCAGCTTGCTTGTTTATGTTGCTGCTTTTTCCATTGGTCTAGGACCAAGTAAGTGCTTTATTCTTTATTCCTTCCCTCTTTCCCCCTGTTAATATTAATGTATTGCTTTTGACCAGTCAGAGCATGGTACTGCTATAGTCCCTCATACATATAAGTGCTAGAAGCAAGACCAGGATAACATTGGTCATTTGATGCTCCTTCTAATGCAGAAGGCTTTTATCACTTATATCTGCTTCTGAAAAGTACAGGGCTCGTGTTCAATTGAAAGATACGTTTCCCACTATCTGTCACAGGAGGATACTTTAACTCCCATTGATTGAGGATGAACCAGACCTGGAAAGATATTTACTGCCCGAGGGAATTACATTGCTTTGTGAAAGCAAAATTTGCTGCGGTAACATTTTCCTCCATATCATCTCTGAGTTTCTTCCTGTGTAGGAGAAAAAAAATTCAAATGTTTAGATTTTCTTAAAGACACAATAGTGGATGCATTCTTGTGATAGTAAAGAAGGAGGACATTATGAGTTGAGAAGGAGGATGAATTATTTTTTTTAGTACATCTTATTCACTAGAGTAGCCTCCCAGGGCACTTTACTCTTTTCCATGAAACAGAAGCATGAAAGTCTAGTTACTATCATTCAACATAATACAAACACTTGACAGGAACATAGCCATGAGGTTGTTTTATTTTATAGAACTAGTCTGCTCTAATGACAAAGTATGAACACCTCTCTTCGGCAAACTCTTTTAGAGATGGATTTATTAGAATAGATTGTTTGTGGCAGTTTTCTCGTCTATTAGCCTCATATCTAAAGCCTGAAGGTCTCTGTGGGGAGACTGTGAAGGGTAGCATCTATTACTTCACCTCCTGCCCCATTCCTCTCTCTCTTTCTTTTTTAGTCCTCTCCTTCCTTTCTCTTTCTTTCTCAGTCCTTCCCTCTCTATCACAAAGTTGGTTTTGAAACCTGTTGACAAGGATCAAGGAGGCAATCAAATTGGCTCAAATAATGGAAAGCATTGGAGGTTTGGAGCAGTAAGAAGACATAGGTTGTGCTGAAGAAGAAGGAATTTCCTGGAGAGAGGTAGGGCTCTGGTTCCAGGTACTGGACAGGGTTTCTGGGAAGAAGGTCAGGTAGGGGCTTGCTCTAGTCATCCACTGCTAACTCATTAACTATTCATTCAAGTGATATGTATTGACTGATGAACTTTTTCATAACCCAGAACTATGCTAAATGCTGGGAAAAGGGTAATAGGACAGATAACTGTCCCTATCTTCAGTGAGATTGTAGGTGAGTGGACTGAGCTACACTCTCTGTAACTGCCTCTTTGTGGTCAGCAACCAGCAGGTTGGGCCTGCTTAATCTCAGTTGATAACTAGACCTGCACATGGCTGATATGGACTCTCCTGCTCTAACTCTGCCTCCTCATTTTTCAGCTTCTACTCACACTTCTAAGTGCACTTAGTTCCTAGATTCTGATTTGTTCAAATTCTTGGGCAAAATCTGATTGACACTGCTCTTTGCTGTGCCAAGTCAGAGATGGAAGTTCAGGCCTAATCAGCTGGGGCAAGATTGGGTCATGGTCCAAGGCGTGGAAGACTGAAAGTTGGCCCTTTCTCTGCACTGTGAGTAGACATATTTCCTCCTGTAAGACGGCTTGGGCAGACAGAGTAAACATTACAATACCAGCAGCCTCTGATGACTCAGACTTCTTCCTGAACCTTAAACCTGCTTTTTAAGACTTAACAATGATAATTACTATTAATGAACAGTTTCCTGGGAACAGATTTCTACCATTATTTTGGGATTCAATTATATTGAGTATATACCTATGAGATACTTATGTGACTACTATGATACTTTAATGAAATTTGAGCTAACATCTTATTTGTATTTTTATTTATTTTATTTTTATTACATTTTTATTTTATTTATTTACATTCTTATTTCAAAAAACTCTTCAAAGCAGAAGGACAAGACATGGGTGCAGTCTTATACTAAGATACAACTTAGATTTGGGTATGAAACTTCTCTATGCTAACAAGCACAGTAAGTTTTGCACATTTGATAAACTTCAGGTGGTAGTCCCATTGGTTTCTTCTGCTAGCATCTCTTCTTGTATATTCATCATAAAACTAAAAATATTTCCTTTGTACATCAACTTTCTTGGTCCAATTTTTTGAAATGTCAAGAATCAACTGAGAGTGTGAGAAAAAGTCACAAAAAAGAAAGGGATACCCTCCTCATTCTCATTCAGAAAACCTCTCAGGGTGAAAGGAGATACATCATGGCACATAGCATAATGTGGGAGACATTGATCTTCGGTCTCTGAACCGACCTACTCGTGGTTAGAGTCCTTCCAATCTCATGCTATCCATCTCTCTTTAGTTTTGGGCTAATTTTGAAAAATGCAGCCAACCTTCCAGTCTAACATATCATTTGATACCTTATTGTATTAGAGGAAGAGTTCTCCTTTTCAGAAAACCAAATTTGATTTTAGAAAAAATTACTGGATACTGGGCATGGTGGCTTATGCCTGTAATCCCAGCATGTTGGGAGGCTGAGGGGTGGATTACTTGAAGTCAGGAATTCGAGACCAGCCTGGCCAACATGGTGAAACCCCGTCTCTACTAAAAATACAAAAATTAGCTGGGTATGGTGGTGCACAACTGTAATCCCAGCTACCCAGGAGACTGAGGCAGGAAAATCTCTTAAACCCAGGAGGCAGAGGTTGCAGAGAACATTGCATTCCAGCCTAGGCAACAGAGTGAGACTCTGTCTCCAAAACAGAAAAAAAAAAAAAAAAAAAAAAAAAAAGAAAACATGATTGGTGGCTGTTTGTCTTTCAATAATATTCTACGTGAATTCTTTTAAAGTATAGTTTAAGCTTTAGATTCCACTAATATTTATTGACACCTAGTATGTCAAATACTGTGCTAGGCAGTTTTTACATACTTTGGAGTACTTCATTTTACCTTCAAAACAAGCCTGAGAAGAAAGGATATTCACTGCATTTTATAAATGAAGATACTGAGTCTCAAAGAAATTAAGTGACTTGCTGAAATAAATGAAAACATGTTTTGTCTTCTGAAATTCAACATTAATCTCAAGTATAAGACAAGAATAAGCAATCCTGTGTTGGTCTTGAGAGTAAATGTTAATTACTTTTAGTTCAGTCTTCTCCTTGAAAGTCCACTAGAAGGAAGAATGAATAAAAATAGTGTATCATTGTCCTTCCATCAGGATACTCATGGACCATTCTGCATTTTTGCAAAATAGAGACATAGTGCTTTTCTGAAGCTCTGCTAAGTAAGTGAACATGTACTTTTTATAAGACTGAATTACAGGAAAAAAGAGAAGGGTAATAACAAGAAGAGAGTTTTTGCTGCACATTTACTTGCACAACTGAGTGTATTAAAATGTTGGATGCAGAATTCAAGCTCAGCGGATATAACAAGGACCAAATTAACAATGACTTAAACAAAGTTAGATGTTTCTTTCTCTCTTACTTAACAGGTGTAGTTGGGCAGTTCTGGGTGTTGTGGAGGTATCCAGGGTCAGATACCTGAAGTCTGCAGTTTTTCTAGACCTTATTTCAGCCACTACTTTAATGCTGGTTTCTAGTCTATCATGATGACCATTTATATAAGATGCATTTTTAAATCTCATGCATATTAAAATGCATTTTAAAATCTCATCATCATTTATTCATAGCTAAAGGTCCCTTGGGAATAAGTAAAAATGCATGAGTGCAGTCAACTAAAGGGAGGTTGGGTAGAGAAAGGCATGGGTAATCTCTAGACAGTCTGAGCAATTGCAGCAGGGAGTTCGAATGGCTGTGAGTGATACAGTAAGGAATTTCTTACAGGGATTCGGCATCGCGCAATTGTAGGAGAAGCTGAGAACACAAAGGTCTGGAAGGGGACCAGGTCTGGGGAAAAAGGAAAAATTTATTAATCAAGGCACGGAGGGAAGTCGGTGGAGAAGCCTGTGGAAGGCTGCGGCCTTGGCATCTGGCGGTGGCCTGAAGCTTCTGCTTGGCAGCAGAGCAGACAGGAGAAAAGCTGGACTCAAAGCAGAGGGAAGCAGAGACGACCCACTGAATCCGGTAGACAAACTGGAATCCATGAGCAGAAACTGCAGCACGCATGTCTCTCACCGCTTCACTCCAGTGAGGCAGGCGACCTGCAGAAAACCTGCTGCCTTCTCCCGGAGCCCGCTCCAGTGCTTGGAGAAGTTGCAGGAGGAGATCTGGCCACACTCGCTGCCTTCCACCCCAACAAGGGGAACCAGTACGGGCAGCAGGGTGCACGAGCTGCGGGGGTGGCTGGGCCTGGCACCAACGCCTCAAGCACAGCACTGTGGGGTCACTTTGGCCTTCCAAATCATGCAAATTTCTCTTCTTTCCAACCCTCGCCTGGAGCTACCCAGGGAAGGGAACTCTGGGAAATGTCCTTCCAGCTTAGCTAAGTAACACGGCACAAAATCACCACCGTAACAGACTCTGGCCTAAGAGAGAATACATGTGACTCTGGGCGAGAAAGATTTCAAAAGGTCAAGGGCCCTGAATTCAGTCCATTGCTGCCATAGACTTTAAAAATCAAAATGTTAATTATTCAAATATATGACTAGCTCCCATTCCATCTAAAACAAGAGGTGAGGTCATTTCATTAAGATCTCCTGGCATTCTGTTTCTTTAGCTACAAAACTGAAAAACACATTTGCTAATGCATTATAAAGGCTTTCCTGCTTGTTTTCCCAAGAACGTTAATTATCTCCCTTGAGCTGATGACTCTCACTTATCTCCAGTTCCATCTCTCACATGATTTCTGCTTCTTTTTTTCCCAATGAGTTACTAAACTCTTCCCCCTCCATGCTTCACTGTCAGCCAAACACAACAACCCTAAAGCTGAATTCTTTTTCCTTATACCAGAGTTCTTTACACTTCCATTCCCTTTCCAGAGGGCAGTCACTCTTCCTGCTACTCCGAGCGATGCTCTGGGGCTTTTTCTCAGTTCAGTCAGTGATTGCAATGGCTCTTGTATTTAT